ACTACTATTGGACCCATATCATGGACCAACCAAACTGGATTGGCTGTTTTCTTAAAATAGATTTTCAAAATACAGAGAGAAAAGAAAAGAAATTAAAACTATCCGCAACACTAGACTTTCCACACTTTCACTTCATTTGATTATGATTCGATGTGAAAGGTACTCATCACCGGGTTTGGTTTTGGGGAGACAGAAATGGGTGTCTACAACTACCTCCGTTATAGGTTATGTGCAACGATTTGATATAAAATAGAGAGGGAAAATGTGTAATCGTTGCACATAACCTGTAACGGAGGTAGTATAAGTTTCCTGTAAAAAAAAAAAAAAAAAAAAGAGAGAGAGAGAGAGAGAGAGAGAGAGAAATATATAAGTATTATAGTATAGAAATGACTCAGTCACTCAGATGAGAAAAGTAGCTTAAAAGAAACACTAGTATTGTTTTCTACTTCGTATATGATTGTATTCTTAATTAAAGTATCACATAGTGCATGCTAAACTTTGCATTTTAATTAGCCCACGTAATTGTTTTAAATCAATAGAATCTATATCCAAACATGAAACAACAAAAGTTGACGCACCTCCAATTTAGCAATTTCTAATAAAGCAGATCAACATTGAAAGTGTACATTAGATTAGCATCCAATAAATCTCCATTAATCATTACTCTTGTTAATGATTACACCACAGTAATCTCCTAACCAAGCATCTAAAACTTTTTGCTCAAAAATCTCACACATTTCTTAACCTATAATCCCTTCATTCTTACAAAGATTTTCCTAGTTAGAAGCAATTACGAGACAAAAAAAAAAGTCAAAACAAAAACAACATTTAAAATCGAACAATTACTTTCGATTTTTTTAGTTATAATTTTGCAATAATTTATATCTCATAAATAATACTATCGAAAATAGTATATAAATCGACAAAGCTACAACAATTACCAGTTTACCACCACCACCTGTAAATCTGTGACTTCACAGTGAATAGATTAAAAATTAAAGGCTCAAATAAATTATTTCAAACAGAATCAACACTATCCCTAGACTATCAACAATATTTCTCCACGTTAACAAACTGCCAACAAAATTTCACATGCATCTTTACTATCTAATCTCTATGTCCGAGTGATCCTATTATTTTTTACTACCATTGTCACCATTTAGCTCTTGCTAGTATACACTTGTAGCCTTGTAGCATGATCATCTTATTGTAAACAGCTTGTAACCATTTTTTTAAATCAACGGGTGACCTCGCAATTAAACTTGCCACTCGGTCATACCTCGACATCTTAAATCAACTGATAAGGAAGTTATTCCGTCTTACCAACAATATCAACAAGAGAAATTTAAATTTTTCCATATGGGGTTTTAAGACGGTTCGATTTTAAATTAGTCGGAGTTTACTAAATTTTGAATATACCCCACCTAACAAAAATATTTAAAATTAGAGTGGTAGCAATCAAATTGTACCGATCGATCTTAACAATAATAATTACAAAAACTAATAATGTACACACATACACGAGGACGTGATAATCTTGAACCACCCAATAATTTTATAACCCTCACCCGTCGGAAAGCAACACCACAGCTGACGACGACAGTGGGGAATAGAGAAGATCATAAGGGGCCCAAAGACTATCCAAAGGACAAGGACGATTAGAATCAATTCTAAGCCAAGGTTTACCCTTACCACTCCAATGTAACAAACTAACAGGCCCAGGATGTAAATCTCTACATAACCCTCTAATATTATCACCCCCTAATCCATGTTGATTCCATCGATGTTCAATTCTCTGTACTTCACCTCCAAAAACAAGCAAAAATGGCGGCAATGAACCCAGTTGGTAAATACGGTGTCGTTTTTGCAATCTCATCCAATTCTCGAGTTTTGAGGTGAACCCACCTTTTCTTCATTTGTTTACATCGATTACCATGACCCCGGTGTTGAAGTAGCAGGGTGGTCGCTCTCGTTTCTGGAAGGTTCTAGAGAGTTCTGAGGTGGTCCAGAATTTCGGGGTGAAGTAGCTGGTGAAGTTAGCGTGACAGTATTCTGGAGCACCGAGTACGTGGGCTCGGAGATCGATGTTCCAGAGATTGGAAACGTCGTCGACGACAATGAGATCGGAATCGAGATAAATCACGCGATCGACGGAGTTCGGGAGGAGTTCAGCGAGGTAGATGCGCGCGTAATTGAGGGGTTGATCGAGTGCGCGGCGAACGGAGGTGGAGATTTTGCCGCGGACGAGGAGAGGGTCGAAGTGGAGGAGAGAGACTGAGAGAGAAGGGAAAGTAGAGGTGATGGTACGGTTGAGGTTGTGGAAGTGGCGGGAAGAGGTTAAAAAATGAAATGCGATGTTTTCCGGGCAAGCCGAATGGCGTAGGACGGAGAATACCGCGGCTATTGAGCCGCGGAGGTATGTTGTATCGAGGGTCATGGCAATGTGGATAGTTGCGCCTTGTGTTCCCGCAACGGCGCAGTTTACGCCGTTGCGGAACGCTAGGGCTTCGCGGAACTGAGGGATATCCCTCGGCTCCGCGGAGCCGAGGGTGAGAAGAGTGAGGAGGAGGAGGGTGAGTGAGAGGGGGAGTGGCATTGTGGTGGTGGGATAGGATAGATATTGGGAGGAGATTTTGATGTATTTTAAATTTGATGGGAAATTGTTAAATTTGTCTTGGATGAGTGAAAAAAACAATGAATATAATCGGTGGAGTTGGGGAGAGGGTGGGGTCAAGGAGAGTGATATTGTTGTTGTCAAATGGAAGAGCGCCAGGCTGGAAAGATGGGTCCTTGAATATAGTTTGTTTAAAAGGAAGGATTGTAGGAAATTAATTTGAGGGAGTACTGTAGAAGAATTTATGAGGAAAAGCTGGAGTGAATATTAAAGAAATAATAATAAGTGTTCTTAAGATCCGTGATTGAGGATAGTGATGGAATTGAGTTGGGAATTTGGGATGCTTCTATTTGGCCTTGGTAGAAAACTACGAATTCTTTTGCCAAATTTTAGGTTTAACTCTGTTTCCCATGTAAATGTTTGTTTTGAGTTTGTTAGATTGAGTATAAGATATTCTTTCTTTTTGGATACTATAAAAACTTTATTTGGAGTACCATTCTAATATCTAATACCCCATTCAAAAAAATTCTAGTATCTCTTTCAAATGAATAAATATATAAATAAAATTCTTATATCTAATACTTCCTCCGTATCTTTGATTACACAATCTCCTTAGAGAAAAAATAAAGTTAGAAAAAGAAACATTTAGCCTACTATCACTTCTCTATACTTCATTTTTTTTTTAATCCATGTATGTATTATTGTATTGTGATATAATATAGTTTATAGATTACTAGTATTATTAATTTTTTGTTGACGACAATATAAAATATACGGATGTAGTAGTTTTTTATCAATATCTACTTATCAAATAAGATTGATATCTATTATTTTGAACAGATAGATAAACATAAACTCACTCAATAAAGAGTAGTAAATTATGGAATCTCATCTCCAAAGAGCATATGTATTTTTATCGTACTCATAATTTAATTTCACCGTTAAGCTTTAATATTAAGACTAGAATAGACTCGATGTACAATAACTCATTGTAGACCCAACCTTCTAGTGTTTCATACGAATGTGATTATATCATACGAAATGTTATTATATTATTACAAAAGTGATTATATCATCTTGAAACTATTATGTAAATGTATCACTCAAAAAGTGAATTTATCATTATAAAAAGTATCAAATAGTAAATTACATCATTGAAAAAGATGATTTTTTAAATTTTATCATCCTAAAGATAATTATATAATCTCATTAAATGGTTTAATATGAGATCAAAATATGACTCACAAAAAGATAATTATATCATCTAAAAAAGTGATTATATTATCCAAAATGTGATTATATTATTTGAAAGTGTCAAATTTTAGTTCTACAATAATTTATTGTAGACCGGGTCCATACAAAAACAATTGAAGCTTTAATTAGTCAAATCTTATACTTCGTATTCCCTTTGTCCTCCCCAAAAATTCACCTTTGTTTAATTTTTCAATCACCTTACATTAGTCAAACTCTACCAAATGTATACACTAGTTTTTTTTTATTCACCTTAAATACAAAGAAAGACTTTTATTTGAGAAAATAGAAAGTAAACAAAATTTTCTTTTGCTTTTCTTTTTATTTATTTTAAATTTAATACGAAATATTTATTTGTAAAAAGTTCGTCCACACAACAATTGACTTTTTTCAAGAAATTTGGCATTGCCAAAAAAAACAAGCATTTCTCTTTTAGGGATTACATTTGTTGTGGTCCATGAGAACAACTATATTGCTTACAAAGAAATGTGAGAACGATTATTATGATATACTCCATAACATAAAGGCAATGAAGTAATACAAGCTTTAAATGCAGTATGGTGTTATTACACTCATATTGACCTAACCAAACGACCAACTTGTTGAGCATTGTTAATTTCTCAAACTCCATCTTTTTCTACTATTGGAAAGTAAGCTTAATTGATCAACATAAATGAAAAGTATACATTTTGCTTACTATTTACTCTGGAAAGCAAACAATTTGCTTACCATTCAATTTTTATGGGGTACATATAAAAGTATAATCTTAAAAGTTTGCTGAGAATTGACCCAAACTTGAGTGGCTTGGCTATCACCCGTACAATAATTGTGACAATAGATTGATAGAACAATAGAAGTTTCTTCCTCAAAATGTTTAACCCGCTCCAACAAGATTTTCATATTTAATGCCAAACCCGTTTAATATATTTTGATAGTCTTGTGTTTAAATCTAAAATATTTTTTTCTTTTTATTTAAAATAGTAAAACTTTTTTTTTTTTAAACCCGTTAAGGTGTCATTATATTGATAATTTGTCCATCAATACATACATTTGTCCATCAATCCTTCAATGATGATGTTGGATAGGCCGTGGCTCTTGGCAAGTCTGGTAGCCATGGCAGCAGCCTTAACTTCAGCTATGATTGGACGCCAGTGGGCTCTAACTCCGCGGCTGGCTGCAAGTAGAGCATCCCTTTTCCGATCCAGTCCCTGGCTATGACACTAAGTCCCACCCACCCTTCAACACTGAGCGATGCATCACAGTTGATTTTAATCATACCTTCAGGTGGGGCTTTCCAAGATTTCGGGTTGCGGCAGGAAGGTTTCTTGATACCTCCATAGATTCTCTTAGTATAAGTGTTACAATCAGCTACCAAGCAGAAGACACGCCCGACAATTACGGGGTGATAAACTTCTTTGCCATTGAACACCATAGCATTTCTTCTATTCCACAAATTCCACATTAAAATAGCTCCCCTGCAGACCTTCTTTGCGTCAAGTTTGCCCCAAGACTCCATTAAATCAAGGAAACACATGTCATTCGGCCAAAGGGACATCTCCGTACACTCACATTCCACCCAAATCTCTCGGACTGTGGGACAGTCAAAGAAGACGTGCTGAACTGTTTCGGGAGTGCCAACACACCAAGGGCAATCCGAATACTCTGTCATGTGCCTGTGTTTAAGGTAGGCTCTAACAGGGAGAGTTCCCGTGCACAGTCGCCACAAGAAGTGACGCACCTTCGGGGTGATGTCCAAACTCCATATATCCAAGCAAGACTTATGAAAAAGATCGAGATTGCATGACTTACCCAACATATAAGATGATTTGACAGAGTAGCAGCCATCAAAGGAGAATGCCCAAGTGAGTATGTCAGGTTCGGCCTTCGAGCTCAAGGGAATTGCAAGGATGCTGCGGACATCCTTTTCATTGAATATGCTCTCTATACGGTGCACGTCCCACTCACATAACTATTTACTATATGACAGAATCTCTAAGCTATACCTAATATAATTTATTAACTAGTGAGTAGTCCGGACTTTATCCCAAGTTGCTACTGTTGTAAACGTGTAGTATAGGTAATTTTTTAAAAAGGTTTTCCAAAATTGAAATTGTCATTATTAAACCCAAAATTAGTTATTATCAGTGTTTTTTTTTTTTTTTTTTTTTTAACCTTGTGGTTTTGCACATATATAATTTTTCTTACATTTTAATAACATAGTTGATATTTGTCTTAGATGGTTAAATAACCAATTTAGTTATAAGAGGTTGAGGGTTTCATTCTCCTTATCTATATGTTTTTATATGGAGTAATATTGGTTTCTTGGGTGATGTGGCGTGTTGACTAATATTGTTTGAGTGTTGATGTGGCATCCTGTAATGTTAGAAAGATGACATGGCGGAATACAAAAGGGACTACGAGGCATATCGACGTTATTAGAAACGCCTTTTAATAAATTAGTCTAAATATCTTTGCCTATGTACAAGTAAAAATTATAAAAATTGATATTTGGAAAATTCATAATAAGACGAATCTAATAAGAGTCCACAACAATTTAGTTATAAGAGGAAAACTTAAATATTTATTAATGGGTTTTGACGAATTCAAAAATAAGATAATATAGGTAAATAAATATTAATGAAATTTTACATCATAAACTAATTATTTCTCCTCTAATGGTACACTATTAGTATTTGCATAGTGACATATCTATAAATATTTATTAATGGGTTTTGACGAATTCAAAAATAAGATAATATAGGTAAATAAATGCAATTGTCAGGGTTCAATGTGATTCCTTATTACAACTATTTAAAATATTGTTAAAAATAATGGGCAAATTATTTTAGACATATAAAAAAAATTAAAGAAAATATAAACAGTTAAAAATGCTTAAAGCAGTTACAACCAAAAATAAAATAAAATAAATAAATAAAAATCCTACTTAGATTATTGTTAAAAAGAATGGAAGGAAAATTATCTTAGACATGTACACAAAATTAAAAAAGTTAAAAATGCTTAAATAGTGGGTGCTTTACCATCGTACCGCATCAACTAAGGGCATGTTCTCATTGACTGAACTGAACTAAACTAAACTAAACCGAATATTTTATAAGAGAAGAAAATTAGGAGAGGAGCTGAACTGAACTGAACTGAACTGAGCTGAACTTAACTGAGCTGAACTGAACTGAGCTGAACTGAACTAAATTTCAACGTAAGAGAACATACCCTAAGTTATTGTAGATAATATATCACATGAAATAATACTTATCTGTAAATCGGTTATTAAGCTGATTTTTTTTTTTTTTGGAAGTGGGGGGACAACACAGTTGTCTCCCCCTTGTACTCCTCGCCCTCCGCCACTATCCCCCTTCCCGACCTTCCCTCACCCCCGAAAATCACCAAAGCCTCCCCCCCAAAACACAACACAACCATGCCAAAGTAATTGATTACAAAGAAGTAAATCCAAGGCAAAATAGTCTGACTTGCGAAAAGATATTTTTGGGTGTGGGTTTTCCTATCAAGGATTCAAGATTATACATTGCAAACCAAATATTAACCTAATCACGCAGACTTTCTGGGTAACAATTTGTAAAAACTAGGGTAGATTGATCAGAATTAGTTCCGACAGTTTCAACGAAAAGTGAATCAAAAGAATCAAAACTAGGGGTAAGAGAATTGAAGGTATAAACCTTTTTAACAAGGGTTGATTCAAGGGTTTTCGGCGTTTTGAAGGGGCCAGGGTTAGGACGGGAAATCCTGTTTTCTATTCAAAATACATATTATTTAAGAATTTCCTTTATAATTCAAATTAATAATGCCCCACCCCTGATTCTTTTTTTTAAACTATCAATAAGTATTTAATTTAATTTTTTTTCAAAATACCTATAGTAATTTCTATTGTCACACAATAATAAATAGAGTATTTAAATGCATTATTATGTTGATATAATTTGTTTCAAATGGCCAAAATTTCCCCACATTCACCAACCAAAATAGTGTGGTAGTAAAAATTACTATAGATATTTTGAAAAATAAAATATTTAAATACATATTGACAATTTACACCAAAAAAAAAAAAAGGCCTAACAAAGGGTGGGCATTATTTATTTGGATTGTATAGTAAAGGAAATTGTTAACACGATATGTATTTTGAAAATAAAACAGAAAATTAATACCAAAAAACATATATGTATATAGATAGAGTATTCCTCGTTTTTTTCGGATGACCGGTGTACTATTTTGTACTCCCTTTGTCCCTAAATTACATTCCTGGTTTCTATGTTGGGTATTCCAAAATTAAATTCCTCCTTTCCATTTTTAGTAAGTTTTTTTTCCAAATATCCCAATTCAACTCTCTTTTTCTGTTGTATATTTAATGCTTTCTCACTCTTTCTGTCCTAATCTCACTCAAGATCCTTTTGCCTAATTTAAATGAATGTGATTAGTTCTTAATTTTCAATTAGAAACATGATATTGTTCCTTTTTTTTTTTGCAAAGGATTGATGACATGACATCATTAATCATTAATCTATCTTTGTTTTACTCAAAGACATCATTTAATGTTTTGTATTTCCCATTGAAATATTTCATTATTGTTATTTGTCTTATTCTTTCCTCCTTAATTCTCGTGTAATTTTACAAACAGGAATGTAATTTAGGGACGGTGGGAGTACGTCATATCATCATTATTATAAAAAGTTGGTCTCGGTTTTATTGTGACACATATGATATTAAGTAAGTGATATTTTGATAGATTTTTTATAAGATTAAATTGTTGTATAGAGTTTTATAATCGATAGAATTATAATATTTTATAAATACAAAATTAATCATAAATTTTAATAAATAACCTATAATTAACTTTGTTCTATTTCCATCATCAAATTCGTTTCAAAAAGTTTGGATAGTTTTTTAAAGATAATAATGTTGTATAGAAATTTATATCGATATACTTCTAATATTTCATATATACAAAATTAATCATAACTTTTAATAAATATCTTATAACTCGGTACTATTTCTCCATCATAAAATTCGTTTTGAAAAGTCATTTAAAATAAGATCCATTTATAATTGTAGGGAATATTTCAAGCATCCCACACTTGAGCTCCACTGTGATCGTACACTTAAGCATGGTGGCGTCCAAAGGGAAGGAAGCTAGAGTAAAAGAGTTGCCAACAAGTTTTAGAAACTTGTAAACCGTTCACAGGGTGAAGCACTAATACAAAAACCTTCATTTTCGTCGCTCATTTAGGCTGTATTTGCGTCACTTCTATGAGCGACGCAACTGCTCGCGACGCAAATGACTCATTGGAGCGAAGCAAATAAGAGTTATTTGCGTCACTCGTTTGTTAAATGAGCGACGCAAATGACTTTTTTGTAACTTATATTTGTTATTTGCGTCACTTCTTTAATAAACGAGTGACGCAAATGACTCTTTTTAATAACATATATTCTTATATTTGCGTCACTTCTTTAATAAACGAGTGACGCAAATGACTAGTTTGAGGAAGAGAAAATGAGCTATTTGTGTCGCTTCTTTCTTAAAGAGTGATTGACAAATTTTTTAATCCACACATTAAAGTAACATTATAATTTGCCTACTATATCCCTTCATATAATACAATATTGCAAGACAAAAAAATAAAATCATAATAAAAATAATAAGATCAAATAAAAATTTCGACATAATTTCCTTTGTATTTTAGCCTACCCATTAATTTGGGAATGACGGCGCCTTGTATCAGCAACCTGTCAAATAAGTTTACAACAAAACAATATTGACATCTTCATCATTAATAAGTATAACACAAGCACCAGACCAACCCAAATGTTGGTAAACCAAATGCGTTCATTTCAAGCCTAAGAACTATAACAAAATAATCCAATAAATAATACGGAATTTGAAGCCAGCATAATTCAATTTAGGGACAAAATCTTCATTTTCCCTAACACGAACAAGTCCATAATGGAAGTCCACTTCCTTTTTCTCTTGCAAACAGTTTAAAGTCACCAGTTCCTGATATCAAATTCAATGAATCAATAAACAATCAGAGTTGAGAATGAAGCATCAAAGCAATAAATTAATATTCTACAATTATTTAAACAACTACACTAGATTTCCAAGAAAATACTAATAGTTGTTCCTCTAATTAAGTATACTAGCAGAGGAATAGAGGATTGATGCCAATTATTTGCAAAACCTCTTAATACAAAAACCAAGAATGGCATTTATACGATTCGATCAGGATTTTCTTAATACAAAAACCAAGAGGGCCACCAAAATTAAGGCATTTTCTTTGGAGTGCCGTGAAAGGGAATATGGCAGTGAAAGATCAACTAAGGTATCGTCACATTACAACTGACGCTACATGCCAATTATGTGGTGTGAATGAGACAATTTATCACACACATTTGAGTGTGTTGTTGCAAAGGAAATTTGGCATTACAGTGAGTACAAAACCAACCTAGAAGATGCGCTAAATGATAATTTTGCAGAGCTATGGTTATGGATTTGTAAGAAATATGATGCAGAAGTAGTTTGTTCTATGGCCGCACTAATGTGGGCTGCTTGGAGAGGGAGGAATTTAATCCGAATAGTGTGCTACATGCCTTCAAGTTGGAATTTTCCATGTTAATTGTCAAGTATTATGTATTCATACTTATGTTCAAATGTCGAGAATAAAACACCAATACTAAAGGTAAAGTAAAGAGTGTACAAACAACAATTTTTTTTAGACGTGAATACGTGATAGTAAGGGAGTAAAGGACTACAATCTTATATCAGATCAGTTTGGTGTCAGACAGAAGACCTGCTAAACAAGCACGGCTATATCTAAGTGTGATGACAAGTAGCAACTAACCTGAATTGCACCATGAGACACGATATCTTCACAGAGGAGGTTAGAGTGACGAACAAGATTACCCAGTGCACCTGCAGCATTTAATTTTGTGATATCCTCCTCAGGTAGCAGCAGCAGATTTGTCAGTTTAGAGAATGAGCTCATAAGTTCTTCGTATAATGAATCCTTATGGAAGGCTGCATTTCCTATCTGCGAGATGAGATGTGAGAAAGAGAAACAAGGATATACAGGAATGATAATATTAGAAAATTCAGTGAAACTAAAGAAAATAATTGTACATCAAAATAGATTGAAGTATATTTTCCAACAAAATAAAAACAGTCCAAGTGCAATATGCATGATCATGGATATTGAAGTGACAAATCTTACAGCAAAACAGGCAAATTTCTTAGTATTCTTGTCTGGGTCAGTGCATCGGTCTATGAGAAGATTTATGATACCATGCCTTGCCTATACATCAAGTAATAAGAAAACTTCGGCATATAATTTATTTGTGGAAAAATTACAGGGGAATAGAATGAAAATATGATCATGAAACTTGATTACATTAAAAAGAAAGGGTCAATAAACATAAGATTTGATCCCTATATTGGAGAGTTTGTTGAGAATAGTAAACCTTGCCACCGGTTGTATTTCAAGGTGAGAATCCGAATAGTGTGCTACTGGCTGCGGGGTTTGCAAGGCTAGTTCATGATTACAATGGCTATGCTAAAAAGGTTCTGCTGCCCCCCTCTGTTCTGAGACAAAATGATGCTGCTACAAGCTGGAAGAAACCATGCCTTGGGTGTGTTAAAGTAAACTCGGATGCTCATATTCTTGAGGGGTGTAAGTCAGGGCTGGGAGTGGTCGTTTATTTTTAGCAAAACGGCCTGGTAAAATTATTTCAATATAACATTATATCATAGTTTATCTATTCACGGCTAAGTATATCATGGAACATTTTTGGGCTAAAAAAAATGGGAAAGAGCTTCTCTTAGTAGTAGCAGGGGAAAAATCAACCAGAATGAGCAGCAAAACATAAAAAAAAAAAAAAAAAAAAAAAAAAAAAAAATACAGTCTGATTGGAGAAAAATCAATAAAATAGTAAAATCAAAATTTAATAAAACCCAAAAATCCAAAAATTCATCTGCAATTCTAAAATCCGTGCAAAAAATACAAAAAAAATAGTAAAATTAAACTAAGTTCATCCAAAATTGAACCCTAAATTCAATCTAGTTGAAAACACTAGAAAACAGTAAGAACACAGAACAAATTTGAACTTAGTTGAAATCGACTACAAAAATTCACCAAAACAGAACCAAAAATCCTTAGAATCGAGTATAAATCCATAATTTCTTTGATTTGATTGCATTTGATGAACCCTAAATTCTAATATGAACCCCAAAAAGCTGTATTTAGAAACCTGCTTGTAATTCTAAATTTCGTGCAAAAATAGCAACATAATAGAAGATTAAACTTAGTTAATTTACAATTGAACTCAAAATATATATGTAGATTGAAGTGTTGAACAAAAAGAAAAGAGATGAAGAGGTCTTACCTTGCATAAAATCGATTTTGCAACTTCAGCAACAATAGATCCAAAATTCCATGTTATTGAGTACGAACCCTAACTTTAAGAGAATCGTAACAAATTGCTACTAAATTGAACGAAAATCAAACCTCTTTGCTTAGATCTGTGTGCAACATCTATTGCAATCGTAGAACCAAAAAATGAACCCTAAATTCGAAATTCAAACTTCAATTTTCTCACAATTATGTTCGGTTTTGGGTAGATTTTTGATCGAAAATAGGGGATTTTTGGCTCGGATTTGCTCGTATATAAGGGATTTTGCCTCACATTTGCAGGGATTTTTGATTAGTGGTTGAATTTGTAGGTTATGGGATTTTCGATTTTGCCTCACATTTGTTGGGATTTTCGATTAGTGTTTATTCGCTGATGTTTTGGGGGTTTAACAGCAGCAAAGCAACAATGGGGAATTCTGGGGTTTTACTGATCAATTTTTTGGGGTTTTGATGTTGAATTTCAGGGAATTTTGGGGTTGAATTTTCTGGGGTTTGGAGTTTAGATGTTCGAACGGCGGAAGGCAACTAGAGTACATATAAACCATAATGGTCATTTGCGTCACTCGCTAAAGAAAGAAATGACGCAATTGACTCACAAAGTTATATATAATATTGTTATTTGCGTCACTCCTATTTATAGAAGCGGTGCAAATACAAGTAAGTTGAAATATGTCAGACTTTTGCTTCGCTTTATAACAAATGTTCGACGCAAATTAGTTATAATGAAGTCAAGATATCTCATTTGCGTCGTTTGTTTATATGAGTGACGCAAATAAGGCGACGCAAATAAACATTTTTCTACTAGTGAAGGTTACACCCCTTCACGATCCATGAGATCGCTAACTCCATAGTGGTGAACTATGACTGGATATTCGGGGATGAATGTACAAATCCAACCTAAAAGAGATTGAACCTGCCCTAAAAATAGGTCTCTACTTTTTTTTTTGAGCGGGAAGTAATAATATCATTAGATAATAGCCATACGACATCTACAATAATAAAGATCTGTAAACCACAGATTTAGAGAAAATATCATAACTTTTACAATCAAAATCATAACTAATTTTCATATTTGGCATAGCTCATACTCCACCGCTTCAAGCTTGACGCGAGCAATGATTTTTGATGTCTTTGCATCTTTCCAAGTTGAGACCTATGCAATCTGCGTTGATGTTTTGATCGACCTGTTGATGACAAATCCCATACCTATAGAAATCCAAATCACCTTCCCAATTATTATAAAAACCCTAAAAATAAAAGTCCCATCCATAGATGAGAATCAAAATCCATAAAAATTGGGAAAACCCCAGAAAATTGGGATAGACTCTCACAGATGGAGAGAACAAAACAAAACAAAATGTAAAGCAACATAAAAAAACTAAATTGAATTTAAGAAAAAGGCCTCTCATTTATTCTTTTCATATTCATGTGCGTTTTCTGACTAATATACAATCAATAGATTAACCCTAAACCTATTTAATCTATGTTTGCTGAATATTAATGCACAAACAAATCTATTATTGGCGATCACTTGAATTATAAACATATTAGTCTAAACAAGATTATTAATTATCTTATTAAGCGTGATTACATGTACAAATTCCCTTTAATCCCGCAAGAGAGGGCGTGATCAAGCAATAATAATATCAAGCAACAATAATAATAACAATCATCATCATCATAATCTCAATCTCATTAAAGCATAATAGTACTAGCAAGATCCTAGGCATGATACTAACAAGATTAATAACAAATCCTAGCATGTCACTAAGCAATAAAGATCAAAGCTTTAGCCCTAACATGATACTAACACGATATTAGAAAGAATAGGAAGCAACCTAAACATGATACTAGAAAGCAATAAATAACATCCTAACATGATACTAGGAATTAAAATAATCAAAACATGACTTCTATATCAAAAGAACAATTAAAAAACTTTTTTCTTTCTCTAGAAATAGAGAGCTTCTCACTCTAGAAATAGAGTCCACCCTTTTTAGGGGCCTAGTGGTGGTGGTAGTCCGCCAATTAGTGTTTTTAGATTATCAACCCTCATCATTTTCTTTCTTGGGTATATGTTTTACCTACGGTAATTCTCTCTAAACTTCTTTCCCTGTCTTGCCACTTGGCGCATCTAGTTGGTGCCTTGAAGGAAGACCAATCACTTTTCTTTTGATCAATCATTATCTTTCTAATGGCATCTTCCCACTCTCACTGCGCTGTTATCACTTTGGGGGACTCCGTTATTTTTTCTCTCAGCAAGTTTTAACAGTGTTCTGGCTATAACGGAACTTTGGTGTTTTTCCTAACAGAAGTTAACTTTAATCTTTTTTGGTTTTGTAAAATCCCCAATGAATTACAGTAGAAATTCTCGTTAATCAAAGGCGAGTTGCATGTAAGTGACACCAGCACCAAGGCAAGAATTCGAATCGCCTCCTTGCCAAGGTGGGTAGTATAAATGTTTTAGCTGTTCACACAACCTTTCCAATCACTCATCCTCATCTTTTTCTTCTTTAATTTTTACTACTTCCTTCCACAATGAACAACATTCCATACGTAAACAGAAACATTAACAAAGCAGCAGCGCTTGCTGAAATAGAATCAAGTAGAATAAATGGGAACAGGGCATTCTGGCAACTTTGTGTTTATGGTTATCTCATGGACTATCGAACACTTAGCCCTGCTTCAATTCAAAGTTTTGTCAACTCTAGGTGGCGGAAAAGAGGACACATTAATGTGTTCAAAACGAATGACTTATATGTCTTCAAGTGCTCTGTTGAAGAAGACAAAAGAAAAATGCTAGAAATGACGAAAGCAAATTTCGATGGTGCGCTGATGGTGTTTGCACCGTGGCTGCCTAACCAAGTCCCACACAGTGTGCGGTTCAGACGTGCCAAGTTCTGGGTAAGGATATGCGAACTTACTTGTGAATACTTAAATTAACATATGGCAGAGACAATTGGGGAGATGCTGGGAATGCCATTCGAGATTGACTTCGAGGCAAGTTTCGTGCCAAGAAACGACTACCTCATAATACAAGTCAAAATCAACCTTGGTGAACCGCTGATTCCAGGTTTTTTTCTTAAACTCGATGATGATTCTGTCATCTGGATCCAATTACGTTATGAAAATCTGTTCAAATATTGTGTTTGTTGCGGTAGAATTAGACACAAATATACTAGGTGCACTAGGCATGAGGACTTGATTAAGCAAGATATTGATCACATGATGATGCAATATCTTTCAAGGGAAATTCCCACTCTCGAAGCAGAGGAGGGATTTTCCATGTTTAATCTGGATATGCGAGCAACACCAGCCTTGGAAAGAACAATTACAACTAGTGCGAGACTAGTTGCAACTGATCAACCACCCTCCCCCAATTTTAGGGCTTCGGATATAATGGTTGACTTTGATTTGGGCATTCAGAACAGGGGAAGGTCAGTAGCTCCGGGTGCTCAATTCAATAACAGGGAGGCTCCTTTTAGGGGGCCTGTGGTTAACTTAGATGGGATGCCGGCTCAGGTCAACCATCAACCTCCAGTTGCGGCGATGGAGGTGAAAGCAGAAGGTGGCATTCGGGTGAACCCAACAGTTATAGGGACGGTGTAGGTTGAAAACAGCTTCAATGGGAATTTACAGGGAACTGGAAGCGAGGGAGATCCTTATATTGCTGCGGCAGCTGCTCCTTTACAACTTGGGAGCACAGAAATTCTGGGCTCGGATCTGGTTCCTAGATACGGGCCAGAAATTGAGAGCCTTCGCTTTGATCTGCTTATGAACTCGGCGATTCAATCAAGAGTCGAAGTCAATGATGAGATCGATTTCTAGTAGAAGAATTGACAATGCTGGTTATAATTAGCGTTTCTTCATTGAGTATAATGCTCAAAGCTACCCAAGGGCGGTTGAAATTAGGGAATCGGACTCACCAAGCTATGAACCGACGGATTAACAAGGAGAAGAGAACGATGATGCCTTTGTGGTGGGCTAAATCCCTGAAGATCCGATGAGTCCGTGGGTAGGAGAACAACAGATCGACATCAACAAAGAGGAACAATTAGAATAGAGGAGTGTTGAAATTAACCCGGTTCAGGTAGGGCAAACTCAACCCAGGATTGATCTATTGGAGGTGGAGATTTCTGGGATTAGAGAGATTCAATCGGCCATACCTGAAGAAACAATGTCGGACAGTGCAATTGTCTTCACAAAATGGGGAGAGAAGGATAGAAGAGGACGTTTGGTGGGCAACAAAAGATTCAAAAGAAGGAAAGAAAAGAGGCGGTTCAAACAAGAGCACTGCCCTTTGAAGAGGACAGCTATCTCTGACCTAAATCTAGTATCGATCCAATTTATAGAAGAAGAGGAGGATGATGCTGATTCTTTGGCTGTAAGGAAAAAGAAAAAGGGGAAAAGCATTATTCACAGTGAAAATACAGAAGCAGGGGCCTCTTCTTCAGCTAGACCTAGGCCTGGGCCGATGACTAACTTTTGTTTTGAAGCTAATGTTGCTTTACGGTTTGTAGGAGATGGGCTTGTGGTGGTTGACCCAATTCAACCACCTCCACCCCAGTGATCGGGCTTTTTTGGAATTGTCGGGGAATTAAAAACCCAACCACCCCAATAATTCCTAAAATTAAAAGACTTGTTGGGTCTTCTGATTCGGATTTTATTTTTCTCTCGGAAACCAAAAGCAATTCGTATTTAGTTTTTAGCCGTCTTAGAAGTCTAGGTTTTAATTTTTTTTATGGCGTCAATCCGATAGGATTAAGTGGTGGTCTTTGGCTAGGTTGGAAGAACAAGAACTTACTAGAAGTTGTTTTTGCTTGTATCAACTTCATTGTAGTATATGTCAATGACTTTATTAATGGGAAATGGAGACTAGTTTGGTGTATGGTGAGCCTTGTACCTCCCTTAGAAAGGAAGTATGGGATTGCCTCAATCAATGGGTTGCCCCCTTTCTTAATTTACCAATTGCGATTGTAGGTGATTTTAACCAAGTAAACTCACATTTAGATAAAACGGAAGCTAGCTCCACCATAATTAGAGGCTGCAACATTTTTAATGAATGGAAAGATTTAAATGAATTACACGACTTAGACTTTGAAGGGCCACGTTACACTTGGTCGAATGGTAGGGAGGGGGAGGATTTAGTTTTGGAGAGACTTGATAAAGGCTATGCAAATTCTCTTTAGCTCTTAAAATTTCCAAATGCAATTATTTCTCATCAACCTATCCAAATTTTCGATCGTGATCCTATATTTCTCCAAACAATCCCTGTCATCAAGAAAAAACGTAGCATTTACAAGATAAAGCAATGGAGTATGAATTACAATGACTACATTCAAGCTGCCAAAAAAAGTTGGGAAGTGCTTCAAAGAGGCTCCCCTATGTTTCGGCTGGTTAGGAAAATGCAAAGAACGAAGGGGGAAATAAAAAGATGGACTCTAAACAAAAGAGAGAAATGGTGTGGGGAATGGGATAAATTCGAAAAAGACATTCTCGAGGCTCAACTGCTACTAGAAGATGAAGGTAAAGAGGAGGACTTCAAAAGAGTCAGTAAATAACTCGAAGAGTTTTCAAGGAACATGGCGATTTATTGG